AACAGCAAACATAAATAAAGTAACTCTTTCGTGAGAAAAATAAAAAAAAAATTATGAGCGAGAATATCGATAGGTATTGAAAGGTCCTGTAGTAATTAACGAGTCAGTAACTTCGAGTCTTCTGCGCGTCGCCCCTTGATCTCCAATTCGGATCGTCTATCGCCCTTTATCGGTGATGTCGTGCAACATTTTATGAGCTGGCGATCATGCGTGGAGGTCGGCGACAGCTGGCGCCTCTCACTCTCTCTTACTCTCTCTCGCACATAACGTAACGACTAGCGTGATAGCTGTGCAGACTCGAAACGGCGTACTTTTAAATCGAAAAATATACATTTTTGCGAAGATTTAAAGGTACACTGTTTAATAACAAAATATTTTGGGCTAATGCATGCGGTGGAATTATTTTATGACGCAGTGAGGCACCGAGGCCGGCCGGGACTCGGCACAGAGTCAGGGCGGATGTTTCAGGAAATTTTTGGCGCGTGCGGACCTGCTATGGGGCCGCCTATGGCTTCCTCCACTGTTTGGGGAGAAGAGTCGGAGCTTGCCGCCGCAAGAGAGAGAGAGAGACAGAGAGAGATAGAGTGAGAGGGCTAGGCGATTATGCCACCTCCACCCCATCTCTCCTGCACTCGATGGAAAACTACCCCTCTCCCGATAGAGTGAGCCGTGAGTTGTCCGCCTCTGACGGGAGCCTCCGGCCCGCGCTGCGGATGCCGCCAGCCCCTGTTGGCTGAGCAGGGAGGGGTGCGACTAGGCTACATGCGCACATCCTCGACGACCAGCCCATGAGCACTCACGAGTATGAAACCCCTTCAAACAGTAACACAGTTAATTGCCAAAAAAATTGAAAAGTTGCAATAACTGCAAAAGTTGAAAAACTGCAATATTTGCAAAAGTTACAAAAAAGTCGCAAAAGATGCAAAAACACAATTGCACAAGCTGCAAAAAAGCAATGGCAAAAGTTGCAAAAAAAACAAAAAAGCAATCACAAGCTGCAAAAAGAATTGCAGAAAAGATTAAAAAGTTAAAAATTGCAAAAGATATGCGTTCTGTGCCGACTCACCTGCGTGCTGGGTGCCTAGGTGGCGGGCAGCTGGGGTAGGCCCGCGCGGTGGCCAGGGTGGCCCGGGCTCCCCGTCAGAGGCACCTCGCCGCGGAGGGGTCGCGACCGCGCGACGCGCCCGCCAGCCATCGCGCTCCGGTGCTGCACGACCTGGCTCACAGCCGTCACGTCGACCGTCACGCCGGACCTTACGTCGCCCGCGAGGCCAACCGTCGAGTGTCTTTTCGTCACGTCGCCCGTCCCATCTCCCGTCACGACGCCCGTCACGCCCCCCGTCACGTCGTTCGTCGCGTGACTCGTTCCTTACCGCCCCGCGCGCACGACCGTCGCAGCCCGAGGCCAAAGTCCAGTCTGAGGCCAGGCGGGGCGCTTCTGCTCGGCTGAGGCGGGGTAGGGTGGGG